CCCAGACCACATCTGGTAAGAACACACCACTAAATGTACTGTGAGAATGAACATTCAAAGAAAATATGATTTCTTTTTTTACTGAAACTTTACACAATAAATATGCATTGTCAACCTCCATACCTATGCGCAACAACTTATTTCATGTTGCAAGCATCCTTAAGATACCTAACCAAGTTACAACAACATGCTTTGACACATGAAATGGGAATCATACCAACTTATGCCATGAGACCTTTTCATTTTTAGTCCTGATTTCTGATCAAGTCAATCGCGTGCTCAAAGGCTTAGTACCACCACCAATAAAAAGGGGTTGAGTTTCCCTACGAAACGATAGAATCTTTTTCAAACACCAGCTCATGAAATTCTTCAAATCACACCCTTGATACTAGATTGAAGGTTTCTAAAATTCACTTGATGTTGATCTAAGAAAAAAATTAGTTTAGCCTTTCACTTTCATTTCTTTATAATTTTGTAACAAAGTGCAAAAAAAATATAAAAATAAATAAACTGAAGTAGAATCATCCTCAAATGCCGACGAGTTTACCAATAATTATAGGAATATCTTTATTTCTATAATTAATCTAATGTCATCCCAAAACTTTTTATCCCAACATCCATTTCCTCTAATTTTACCTTTATATAGATTATAAATGGAAGTGTCAACGTCAAAAAAAAGGGTAAACTATACAAATGGTCACTAAAGTTTAAGTAAGTTTTTTTTTCCATTGAAGTTTCAAAAGTTACAAAATGATTACTAACGTTATCGTTTTATAACAAATCGATCATTTGACCATTAACCGCCATTATACCAGTCACAGAAGGATGATGTGGCACGTTTTTTTTGGCTTGTCTGGCACCATTTGTCTATGTCAGACCAGGATTGATCGACCATTTGACTAAAATAAAAAAAAAATTCAATGAGGATTTGAATTTTGTAAACCCTAATTTCAAAAAATGGGGGCAAGCAATCTTTTCATCAATGTCATCAGAATGAAAGCATGGATGCCCACATTATTTAAGTTAAAACAACAGCGAATACTACACATATTCCTCTATGTATCTTGGCTTTGATTCTTTACTCACATTCGGATCACCGGATTCAACAACCTCTTCTGGACTAAATAGAAGAGTGAAGATTGTTACCCTCTTCTAAGTTCTAACCACTTGGCATGATTCTCGTTGAACTCCAAAAGCTTTATCCGAGCCGCCAATGTGAGTTCCTCGGTGTACGGGGATGTTCTTACCATGGTGAGTAAATCCCGACTGAATCTCGAGTCGAGTATTTGTTAGGAATTGGCAACCAACTCGAAACATGGATACTCCGGGAAATGATCTTCGATGAATCATCTTCTCTTGACACGGAGTAGAAAAAAAAAAACCTGCCACCCGTTCCAAGCATCCTAGCAGAAAAGTCAATCAAGTTGTTGCAAGGTCGAACAACGTAGACATTGCATGACCGTTAGAACTCGCCAGGAGATTCTTCTACAGAATATTACTTTAGGGTCACAAGTTAAATATCATAAGTATATAAATAATGCACATTTCTCCCACTAGCCACTGCCTATTTTCTTTTGCAACTTATTTACATGATTTTATTTACCTTATTACCTAATGAAAAAGATAATCTAACTTTTTGTCTTATATTAGATGAACGAACTCCTAGACAAGTAATCAAAAGTTCATAAGAAAATCACATGGTCGTCCTATAATCTCTTTGCTTCAAAATATTTTTGAAACATATCTTGCTTCAGCTACCCCATCTTGCAATGCCCCTGCGAATTTCACTTTACTAAGCTTCAACTTGATATTCAATCTTTACATAACATTACTTTCGACCACTTTAAGCCTGAAGGATTGACCACCAAGCCGTTCACAGTTAACACTATGTAACCACATAGTTTTGATCATTAAGTTAAGAAAACAAAACCAAAAATAATACCCTCGAAAATCAGCAGGACAAGTATCCATATATTGAAGAAACAAGCAAACAGTGTGTCAAAACACAATACTAAACTTGAGAAAATTGTTAGTGACCATACGTGAAAAGTAAGTAAAAAAGACCCATTTGTCATTACTGTAAGTAAATTTTAGTTTCTATATTGGCAGCTAAAGCTAATATTTACTAATGATGCTTAGCAGCTTAAGCAAGTTCAAACTTCTTCCCCCTTCCTTCAAACACTCAAGATAGGATTAAACATGTCTAGTTCTCCAAGGAGCAAAAAAAATGAAAGAGCTTTCCATCCGTTCTACGACACCGTCTTGGCTCTGGATCAGTGTTAATGAGAACCAAAGATGAAAAGCTCCCCATCCCACTGTCGCAACATCATTAAAACAAATGTGTCAATAAAACAGATTAACAAAGCAACAAGATACCAAAAGTGGCGTTGAATATCACGACAAAGTTCAGCAGGTAAGCCATAGAAGATGGCTTCTTCATCAACTCCACGAGAAGCCATAGAAGATGGCTTCTTCATCAACTCCACGGGAAGCCATAGAACTCCAAGGGTAGTTGACGATGGCTCATCCACTCCAGTGTCCCTGTGCTTAAGTTCAATTCTTCAAATTGCTCCTTTTTTGAAATTAGGGTTTATAAATTGAAATCCTCTTAAAATTGTTTGTTTATTATTTCATTCAAATGGTCGGTCAATCCTAGTCTAACATAGACAAATGATGCCATCCAAGTCAAGTAAACGTGGCACATCATCCTTCTGTGACTGGTATATTGGCGGTTAACGGCTGAGTGACCGATTTGTTATAAAACGATAATATTAATAACCGTTTTGTAACTTTTGAAACTTATTGTGGAAACCAAAATTTTAGTGACAATTTTTGTAGTTTATCCAAAGAATGATTGGTTCGTGTGTTAATCAAATGGGTTTAACCGGCCCATTGAAAGTAATATCACCTTTCCCGATGGCCCAAAAAGATGAAAAATGTACAAAATTCAGAAAAAGAGACTCATTATGTTGCAATGGGTAGAAAGAGAATCATAATGTTGTAGATAGATGTAAACAAAACTCGACTCAATTTGACTTGAAAAAATTAATATTTTTTTTTTATTTTGAGTTATTAGAGTCAACTCAAATTATAAATTCAGTTTAGAGTTCAAGTCGAGTTGAAATTTTGAATTTTCGAGTTACTCGAAAAACTAAAAATTTGATTACGTATTTTGATAGTTTTACGATTTAGTCATTGATTTCATTATTTTTTCAATTATTCCACCATTTTAAGTCTATTTTTTTACAAAATTGAACCACATGCTCCTAAACCATAGTAGAATACATGTGTATTTTCAATTCCTCTTTTTAATAACAAATTTTTTATTTTTCAATTTAGTCTTTCAATTTTTCATAATGTTCTTCTTACTTCAACTCGTCATTTATTTTAAGTCCGTTTTTTACAAAATTTGATCCTCATGCTCCTAAACCATAGTAGAATACATGTGTACTTTCAATTCCTCTTTTTGATAATAATTTTTTTATTTTTTTATTTAGTCCTTCAAGTTTTCATAATCTCCTTGTTCCTTCAATTTTTCATTTATTTTAAGTTCGTTTTTTACCAAATTTAAACTACATGCTCATATATCATAATATATTATCTATGTAACTTCAATTTTTATTTTTTACTAAAGATGCACTCTCTTTTTTATTTAATCCCTTAACTTTGCATTTTACTCAATTTGGTCTTTTTGACTACAATTGTTTGCAAATTATTTATTCTCATCAATTCTTTGACTCATTTATACTCTCATCAATATTTTACCCTCAAAATAATTTCTTTAAAATATAATATTACAATATATTTCATAATTTTAGATTGTATTTGATATATTAAATAACTATATAATATGAAAGAATATATATATATATATATATATATATTATATGGTTAGATAAAGTAAAAAAAATGAAACAAACCATTGTCATAATATTATAAATAATTATAATAAAATTAGTATAGAAACTCGACTAATTCGACTCGATTCAAAAAAATTTCAAGTTATATTCGAGTTGTAAAATACGACTCGTCAACTCGAAATCTTTTTACTCGACTCAATTGAATATACCCCTAGTTGCAGACACAACCTAATGAAAGACAAATCCAAACTAAGAAAACATGTGCTGGGGAGGATGTAATGTTTCCTAACAATGATACTAATATTGAGAAAATGGGTCCATCAGGATCCCCAAATTTTCAACATCCATCGTGGCCTAATGCAGATGCAGGTAAACGCCACCCGCAATGTTACATCACGCTTCAACAAGAGAGGGAGACACATGAACAGCACAAGAAACAACCCAAATTTATGGTGCTTCAACCCATGAAACTCTTATATTCGAGATTTATTTTTTTTATCTTGGCCGTTGATGGTACGAATTAGCTGACCCTATTCTCATATGTAATGGGATGGGGGGAGATAAGGTAGTAGGTTGTGCCCCCAATGTCAGGTTGAGAGTAACTTCGGTGGAAGACCTCCGGCAATCAAAATTATAAATTGCCTACCGTGAGACTCGATCACACGATTATAAAATTAAAAGGAGCTCTACCAACTGAGCTAATATTATTATTAAAAAGTTCAAAACTTTGGAAAGAAATGAACTGCTTTTTTACCGTTCAAAAGTACTTTCTAAAACAAGGGTGAAACTTCTGAGACATCATCATGTGATAGGACCCCCTTTCATTTCGTTTCAAAGTGAGTTTAAACTTTTAAACAAAGACCCACTATTTAAAATTTGTACATGACTGGTTTTATTGTTCATATTTTGTATCAATCATCACAAACTGGGATCATCATTAAAATGCAGTGACCACCAAAACCAGTTGAATGTTCCCTTTCCATCCATTGTCCCACCATTTCCCTTTCCCACCTAATATTGGCTTAATCAGCCCAGAAACTGAAAGAAACAAGAAAATGGAGAAAACTGTTATGTCATCTCAGGTTCTTCGAATCTGGAAATGGTTACATCTTTTGATATGAACAGCTTACCTTTCAAAGGTAACATAATTCTTAAACTGCAGAAATACAAGATCAGAACACACCCATATATAGGGTTACTTTCAATTTCTTCATAATTGCACATCACCTTTACAAGTGAACCTACTCGACTACTTCTCATCATGGCTAACAATCAAACAACAATCCTAGCCTCTCTAAATTCTATTTTCCTCTTCAATATTCCTTTTTTTTTACATTATCATGATAATGATAACAAAAATCAAAATTTTGTTTCTGGATTTTCTAGTAGTTCAGGTGCTGAATGAGAGTTCTTTCTTTGCTGGATATTCTTGCAGAATCCATCAGTTTCTCGTATGAAGAATTGCTTGTTGCTCTTGACAGAAGAGAAGAATCTGAAGGAAATAAAAAGTTTAGTTTATTTCTAACACTCAATTTAGTGTAAATACTAGTTAGAAATTTAGGATACCTGTAGAAGATGCGTTGCTTAACTTCTGTGAAGAATCACTTGTACATCTTGACAACCTTGAAGATTCTGCAGACCAAATTCCAGATCAAACCCAAAGCTTGTGATTAATCTAAAACAGACTTGATTGACTGTAATTAGTACCTCTTGATGAATTCAAAGATTTCTTGCAATGCAAAATGGCGCTTTGGATCCCATCGTGTTGCAGCAGCAGCGAATCATCTCTCCTACTAATGGGCGATGATGATGCTGCCGAGGTTGATCTGCTCTTTCCCAATTGCTTGCAAACCCCCGTGTGTTTATTCTTGGCTGAAAATACCGATGCCGGAGAACTCACCGGAGATGACACCGGCAAGTCACCAGAAACATTTATCTTGTCGCTTAGACTGTTCTTTCTGGAGGCTTTTACGTACAACGGTTTGAATTTATTCAAGTATTTTTGCATCAGACCCTTCAACAATCTCTTTGAGGAATCATCTGACAACGATTCCTCTGTTTTCCTTTGGGATTTCCGGCGACTGTTTTCAAGCTTTGGGGGTTCTGTAGGAGGTCCGATCAACACAGATTTGCTGGACATGAATGTGGAATTGGAATTTGCCACTGACTTGGACTTCCTCAAAGTAAAGACTCGAAATTTCGGAGTTGATTTTAAAGAAGCCATCGGAGATTGTGGCTTGGAGCTTGCCTCGATGGGGATTATCTTTCTCTTGGATAAGTTATCACCGGGAGACAGAGAACGAGTTTGGTCTTCCTTGGACTCAAATCTTTTCTCGCCATTAACGCCGTGCAAAGGAAGCTCCAAATCGAAGAAAGAGTCATCCCCTTCATCCAACTCATGATCTGAACCAATCACGGCCTTTGGAATCTCGGTTGCGGTGCCGTTGTTACCACGACACGGTTGAGCTCGATTCTCCCTGTAACCGCCATTGCTTGGTTTCCAGAACCTGGTGAAATTGAGAGCTTCCATGGCTATGGAAAGCAAGGAAGGAGATAACGAAACAATCTTTGGCGAAAGTCGAAGATGGTGAGTGAAATTAAGGTTTGTAATTTCAGATTCCGATGGGACTTGCTTTTGAACGGTGTATATATTGTAGGTATGGTTGTTTTTACTTGAAAAAGAAATACTTATGGGAGTGAAAGAGAGAGAACGCTTTGCAAAAAAAAAAAAATGCAATGCAGTAACTGGGGGGGGGGGGGGGCGGAAGTTGATAATTTTACGAATTTCCCATTGACGGAGCAGCCCGAGGATTTGTCTGCTAAGTTATTTTCAACCCAACACGCATTCCCCATCACCACCCTTCTTTTTTCTTTCCTATCATTCATCTCCATTTTACTGTTCCAATTCAATTTTGTGATTTTTAAGGGTAATCTATATCTTTAGTCACCCAATTATCTTTTCACTCTTATTCAGGTCACTGAAAATTAAATATATTCAATTTAAAAATAAAACGCTCAAATTACTTCTATTTTGATCCGTCTAACTTATTTTAGAGTTAATTGCATCATATGTCCTTAAACTATGATCTTCATTTTAAATTAGTCCTTAAACTTTTAAACATTCTAATTTCATCTCAACCTATGACTCTTATTCTAAATTCATCCTTGAACTTTTGAACATTTCAATTTCATCTCCAAACTATGAATCCCATTCTAAATTGGTCCTCAAAACTTTTAGATCTTCCAATTTCATCCCCAATTTCATCCAAATATGTAATCCATTTCAACATAGTTTAACCTAAATTTTACCTTTTTTCAAACATATAATAATATAACTTGTCCTAGTGATTTTATTAACAAGAGATATGATTAGTATATACGTAATTTACGATAAATCGAAATATTCAAAAAGTCTTAGGATCAATTTAGAATGAAGATCATAATTTAAGCATGAGAATGAAATGTTCAAAAGTTTGAGGACTAATTTAGAATGATTGTCACAATTTAAGGATGAAATTAAAATGTTCAAAAGTTTAAGGACCAAATTGAAATGAAGGTCATAGATTGGGGGTGTATGGTACAATTAACTCCTTATTTTATTAATAATTTTTATATATGATATACTTTTTTATTATTTTTGCCACATTAGAATAGAAAAAAAAAAACAAGATTAAAACCCAAAATCATACCTCAAATCCTATACACAAACCTCACATGTTTAAAGCACAATCATTGAATTGCAACCCCAACATTAAATACCAAATAACAAACCCGAATCCCCAAATAATACATTAGGGATCCAAAACTGTAACCCATTAACATCCAAATCACATCATCCAAAAACTCAAAATTACAACTCTTAAATTCCAAGTTGTTACATAAAGCCCCCAAAATACATCATCCTAAACCCCAAATTGTAACTCACAAACCCTAAAGTATAAAATTCAAACTCCAAATCACAATCCTTAAACTCCAAGCATAATGCCTAAACCCTAAATTACAATCCATAAAGTCTAACATTAAAACGCCCAAGCCTTAAATCACAAAACAAGCTCTAAATCACAACCTTCGAACCTTAACACACAAACCCTAAATCACAAACCACATCAACAACCATTGTCGAAGCTTCGAGGTAAATTAGGGGTTTGAATGGGTATGCATTAGAGTATATGATTTTAGATATAATTTAAGGCTTTGAAAGGATTTTATTTTAAAAACATTTGGTATTAAAAATATTAATAAAAATAGATAAATATAATAATAATAATAATAATAATAATAATAATAATAATAATAATAATAATAATAATAATAATGATGATAATGATAATGATAATGATAATAATAATAATCATAATAATAATAATAATAATAATAATAATAATAATAATAATAATAATTCATATCATCAGGGAGTAATCAAAATAGGAACAATTTAAAAGTTCGATGATTAAATTAAAAATATTTAAACTTAAATGACTAAAATAGGAATAAGAATATATTTGAGTGACGAAGTGTAAAATTTAACCCCTTTTATTAAACTCTAAAATTTTCAAACTCGACTCAAACTCGAAATCATGAATTGAAACTCGTAAAAGCTCGAAAAAAAAACTTAAACTTAACTCGATTAAAGCCTCAAACTCAAACTCGAACCCGAACCTTAAATACATGCAAATAAATGTTAATATTATTAATAATTTATTTTTTTTTAAAATAAAATCTTAATATATTATATTTTCGAACTACTCACGAGCTTTTCAATTCGAGTATCAAGTATCTCGTTTCGGCTCGTTAATAACTCGAGTCGAGCTCTAGCTCGAGTCTAGTCCATTCGAATCGAGTATTTATCTAGTTTTAACTGAGTCGATCTCGAGTAGCTCGCGATCTATCTCATCTCATTTACGGCACTAATTAAACCTAAGTCTTTGAAAATGATATACCTGGCATCTTATTACTATATTAAACTTAAAAATATATGATGTTTTCAGTAAAAAGTAATATTTATATTAACCTGTATTTAAATTTATCATATTTATAACACCCTAAATCAATGTTTTTTTCCTATTCTCTTATAAAATTTCTCTAAATTTATCAATGTTTTTTATGATTTCATTAGACGTCACGTTTGGTGTATTATTCCAACCAAAAAATCATTGAATCGAGGTTTAATCGATTAAGAAAATTCAATTGGGAAATTGTGGGGGCAATTCGTTTGTGGGTGGTTCTGAAGTCGACTCATCGTTTTATAAAATGTTGGAGATTAAACACCACTATTTTATTCAAAGTCCAAGTCTTCAATTTTTTATTTTATTTTTTTAAATTATGGTTTGTTTTTCCTACACAACATTTGCCCGTTTTCAGCAATTTCAAGCACAACGGGCATTTATCATACACCTTGAAACTTAACTTACCCAATAAGTAATTGAATTCTTAAACTTCAAAAACAAAATTCATGTTCACAATTATCGAACTCCCACGTCCTGCAGAGGTAGATATGAATACATGAACTATTGACATTAATGATCAACTATTAATCATCCTTTTTTCTTTTGAAATCCTTGGAATTTATGGAATTTCAGTCAAGCTCGTCAATCATTATCGATGGTAATATTTAGGTTGAGTGGCTTTAGTCGGTTTATGTCTTTCGATTTGGATAGAAAATTATAATCGTTGATCAATAATTAGATGACGATTTATTAAAACAATGATTTTTTTTTTTGATAAATTTTGTATAAGGCATGGTGGTAGCAACTTCAAGCATGGAGATGTCATTATGTTTTCCTTTTGATATTATTGTTTTGCTAATAGCTTGTGTCTACGATTCAATGAATTTCCGATGGATTGTTTCAAACTGAGTCAGGGAGTACTCTTTTTCTTCAATAAGTTTAGAGAAGTTTTCAGAGGTTTACGATCTAGGAATAGAGGTGTATGAACAAATATTTAATAAAATATTTTTGCCCATAAAAATAAAACAAAAAATTATAATCCATGATCGTAATTAGATAACGATTGATTGATGTTCAGATCTCCTGTTTTAAAGAGAAGAAATATGTAGAGATGATGATTCTTTAGATCTCTCTTAGTCTTGACAAAAAGATTTTATAGTGATCATCAATGATGATATCAGATAAAGGATCATAATGATTACTTGTAGGTTGATATACCTAAGAAATACAACTAATTAACAATAGATTTTGCTCTGGTCAGATCACGTGAGTATCTCCAAAGTCATTTCAAATGGTCATGGCTTCCTGAGAGGTGCATGGCTCTTGAGACCTGTGTTCGGAGATGTTTTCCTATGCTTCAACAACGAAGAAATTATCTGGAAACAATATTATCCCCTTGAAATTTGAATTTTTTTATGTTAAATTTTCATTTATTTTAGTAATAGGGTTTAATCCTAAAATTTTATTTATGTCTAACACAATTATTTTCTCATTAATATATATATGTATATCTTCAAAAATAATTTTAGATCCACAACTATTTAGGGATCTTAATTGTACGTAAAAAGATTAATGGGGTTGGTTCAAGTAATAAACAGATTGATATCACTTAAGCAAGGTCTTAGGTTTGAGTCCTTGTGTATGTAGAAAATCCCCACTAAGAGTGTACCACCCTAAACCAATACGACACACAGTCGACCAATTAGAATGCCATAGTGAACCACTGGAAGGGCTAACCCAAAATTTTTCTCAATTTATTAATCAAAACAACCCTATTAAAAGCCATTTCATATAAATAAATTCATCCATGAAGTGTAAAAACGTTTTACATCGGGGATCTCATAAAATAAATGTATAAAAATATACAGAGCAACGCTTCAATTAAAGTTGCAACTCGATTATACAAAAAATGGGTCTACAAATATACATGCCCTCTAAAGGAATAACTTGAGACGTACTCTGCTCGGAATCTTAGTTTGGATCTCGACTGCTCAAAAAAGATCTTCAAATGTCCTCCTACTAACCTGCGTAAGGAAACAAATTCCAAACGCTGAGCTCACTAGCCCAGTGCCACACTAACAACTAAACCATTTTAAAAGTGTTCACTAAATGCTAAAGCTATCAACTGTAATGAAATAATGAGTATACTCATATACTGCACTCTCTACTCTAGGGTAGACATCATGGTGTGTCTGAGGGTTTTGCATCTCAGAGCTCACGCACCCCTCTAGTCTACAGAGGATGAGGCCCGTATTCTCTACATCGGACACAACACCTTCGACTAACCCACCCCTCGCAAGTGTCAGTCCTTGGCCTTAGTTAGTCAGTTTGAAGTGTCTCGCCCATTACCTAAAGATATCCAGACTGATTCTATTGCTCGATACTAGTATCATTTACTAAAGTGACCTAGGTGTCTTGATCATTTCCCGAGTGTTCAAACAAGGCTAGTTTTATGTCACTAATTTATCTCATTTCTAATGTACTTAAGCAATATCATATTTGAGAGAAATTAGAGCTTTTGGGAAACCTCATTTTCCTATTAAGATCTCTTGGATATTAAAACCCAAGAAAGTACCTTGGTATCGATACTGTCCTTTCAGTGTCGATACTACCTCTTAAGTATCGATACTCCACTCAAGGTATCGATACCCTAGTGTTAATTTCTATTGAAAAAGAATGAGAAGTATTGATACTCCTATAGGGAGTATTGATACTCTACCCTTGGTATCGATACTCGTATCAATACTCTAGTATCGATACCCCTAGAGTATCGATACA